GGCGGGAGGTGGGTGCGGGGCTCTATGGGCCCGGCGGGAGGCGAGTGCGGAGCTCAGGGGTCTCCGCGGGAGAGGGGTGCGGGGCCCGGCGGGACATGGGTGCGGGACACGGTGGGTCCAGCGGGAGGTGGGTGCGGGACCCGGTGCTCCTGGCGGGAGGCGGGTGCGGGGCCCGGCGGGAGGCGGGTGCGGGGTCCGGTGTTCTGCCCGGGCACGGCACCGGCTCACACTTAGAATTTCAAGAGGACAAAGTCACCAAAGCAAAGATTAAAAGTTTATTAATACGAAACAGCGCTGAATCGGGTGCACCAAAAATAGATGCACGTGCGATCTTTCAACTTTTAAATATTTATACCCTTATCCCGGCCTCCTGAGTTTCTGTCTTCCTTCTGAGAAGCTGGAGCTCACCTTCTTCCCGACCTGTTACAGGTTTAGTTCACACCTTTTTCCCATGTAAGGCACACACACACCTACCCCACGAAATCATTATCCTAAACATGCCTTCGATTAGTTAATTACACTACGCATCATTTCACAGTCTTTGCTAGTATTTACTTGGCAGATTTACTGTCCAAGACCGGTTTTTTTGGCCTTATTGATACTCCCCTCCGCTCTGGGTTCCTGTCTCTTTCTCTTCCCCTAGATAACGCTCTGCCAACAAGGATCCCTTGGCAGACCAAGGGCATTTGTGGGGATTAATTGGGTACAACTTATTAGACTCTGCTACCGCTAAGTCTCCTTCGTTAGCACAGATACGCTGACAAGAATATATCAATTAGCTGAAGCAAAACTGAGCTCATTCCCCACGCAGCCCTTCTCCGGCAGCCTGGTGGGGCGCTGCGAGTGGGGCTGCGGGGACAATCGGCGGCAGGAACAGCGGGTGACACGGCGTGCGGGGGGGGATGAAGGGGTCCCGGTGATGGCGGGGTGCGGGGACAGGACCTTTACGGCACGGAACGCCGGCGGGTCAGGGCTGAAAAAGTAAAAACCAAATTCCAGCCCGACTGAAAGCCTGAGGCGCCGCTCCCGCCCACACGGGCCCGTCAGCGCCGGTCCTACCGGGGCTCCCGGCGCCTCCCCAGACCAAGGGCATTTGTGGGGATTAATTGGGTACAACTTATTAGACTCTGCTACCGCTAAGTCTCCTTCGTTAGCACAGATACGCTGACAAGAATATATCAATTAGCTGAAGCAAAACTGAGCTCATTCCCCACGCAGCCCTTCTCCGGCAGCCTGGTGGGGCGCTGCGAGTGGGGCTGCGGGGACAATCGGCGGCAGGAACAGCGGGTGACACGGCGTGCGGGGGGGGATGAAGGGGTCCCGGTGATGGCGGGGTGCGGGGACAGGACCTTTACGGCACGGAACGCCGGCGGGTCAGGGCTGAAAAAGTAAAAACCAAATTCCAGCCCGACTGAAAGCCTGAGGCGCCGCTCCCGCCCACACGGGCCCGTCATCGCCGGTCCTACCGGGG